CTCGGAGCGGGACAGTGGCACTCCTCTCGCTACGCTGTTCAAAGATTTGAACTTAAAAGTACTGTGGGATGAAAACACAGAATTTTGTTAGGAGGGCTCGATGATATTAAAATCCGTGATTGCCTGACGTAGTAGCTTACCCTGCAGCAGTGCAGTGCAAATGAAGGCAGCTAACCTTGGCTGTACTACCACGGCACAAAGCTGTCAGACTTTTTCCACTGTTGCTCTGTCATGGAGACAGGCACCTGTACTGATACCATTACTTCCTAGGACACTGCAATACTGTCTTATTGCACTTAAATAACAGGCCTTTATTTCTTGCGTGTTCTTCACATTTATTACGAATTGCACTACTTTAAAAGCTGAGTTAAGAATCAAATTCCAGATTCAGTTTACTGAAAATTCTGCAAAATTCACAACTGAAACTGCATTTGCTCTTTACCAACACCAAAGACCCAGGTCCAAGATAAATCCACTCTTTGAAGACATTCAGGTGCGGATGTATACAAACCTAAAAGAATTAAATGTATCGTGATGCAGTAAAAGAATTAAATATGTACTGGTGTTCTACCCTTGGATACATGATTCACACAAACCACCAGGCTGCCTCCAGGAGACACACTTTGCCTTTAAAGCAGTTGCTGAAACTGTGGGAATAGCTCCTGATGCAGGAGTTCTGTGAAACTACACGTCCTTATCCTGCTGTGAAAGAACAGCAGGATAAGGACGTGTAGTAAATGCTTGTAGAAGGACAGAATCTACAATTGCAGAGCCCTCCTCTGCTCCTGCCCCCAGCGCACCCACCTCCAGGGCTGGAATGAACCAAAACTAACGTAAACTGAGAGCAAAGTTCCTGTAGCACTGCACCTTTACTGAAAGCAACAGTAGTTACTCCAGGGACAGAGGAGCCATTATTTTGCATTAAGAGTAAAGCCCAGCTCAGCCTGTTGATTTCCCCTGGTGTGGTGAAAAAGCAGGAGTGTCTGCTGACACCAGTTTTAGAGGAGAACTGAAACCATTTGTAGGAAGAGGCAAGGCTTTGACTGAAATGGGGAAGTGCTCGAACGCAAAGCACTGCCAGGGAAAGGCTCACCAGGAGCAAAGCTCAGCTCTTCTCTCCATGAGCGCACTTGCCGTTCTCTCAGTCCAGGCAAGCTGAGGCTAAAGGCTAAATTCCACTTGCTTTGGCGTGAGTTTGCAAACGAACCGCAGCCGTGTGAAGCAATGGGCTGGGATGATTCAACCCAGGATTAAAGGAATAGTCCTAGAACCTGTACAGGCAAAGGTCCAGCCTCAGTAACGAACAAATCACCGTGGCCATGTCGTAACGAGGCCAAAAAGCCAAACTGCCCGATGGGGTGCCGAGGTGTCGCGGCTCAGGGTATGAAGGGTGTGGACACGCATGTGGCCCGGGCGGTGACCCCGAAGGGCCTTTCTCTCGTGCGAGCTCTGCTTCAGACCGTTCGGTATCGAAGGTTTTGTGGAACGTTGTTTGAGCTGTTTCATGAACGCTCTGTCCAAACCTTACCATCAAAAACAACACACAGAGAAATGCTGCCGTTCGAGCAGCCCAGCTTGCTGGTGCCAGGGAGCACGATGCCCCCGGGGTAACATTCTGCCCCGCTATCTCCTCCCCGGAGAGGCTCCGTTTCAAGCCAGAGATGCCAATCACCTTATTCAGAGTCGCCCGTGGGCTGGATATCTTGTGTCAGCAACACTCCCAGCAATGCTACTTGGGGAATAATCAAATGCCACATTGACAACATTTTGGCTCCTGTTGTGAAACCCTAACCCTCAGCACAGCGTCAGTGTGGGCAGCTCAGTGTGGAAGGGAAGGGGGCCTCAGAAAAACATTGGAAGATGCTGCAAAAAAATACAACACTTCCTATTTAAAAGCCTTTTCAAACCCCTCTGCAGACCCTCTGTCACAGGGTGTGATCGTGTCCAGCCCTCAATAAATGTATCATCTTGGTGGCCCAGGAGAAACGGCAACCGAAGCGCAGAAAACCTAAGGTCAGATTTCCAGAATGTGTATCGGTGCCTGAAGATGCAAAGCGTCCCACAGCTGGGAGGGCAGTCTCTTCTTCAGGCACCTCAAATATGCGAAAAGCTCTGACTACGTTCAAAGGCTGCAAATGGCAGGAATGATCTTAACCCAGCTACTGCCCCACCGTGTCCTCATTCCTCACCTGTTCTAGCCCTAACAGCAGCAACGGGAGGGAACAGGGAATGCAGCTGAGAGACTCTGTGAGCCGCGTCTTAGGGAGGAGATGGAGAGCAATATTCTCAACTTCCTGCTCCGATCATGGCTAAGCCAATATTTATCTTTTAGGCTGGAGGATATCGATTCTTGTATCATTAGTCACCTCTTAATTATACCAGGACAATCACCCTTTCTAAAACTATCTGTGGAAAAGCTTGGAAGCAGATGTTGACGCGACTGAGCTTTACTGTGGCTGTGTGAGGGAAGTGCTCAGCCACCCCCCATCGACAGGCGCTGACCTTAGTGCCTTTCGCTTTTCATAATCACACTGATGGCCTTGTTTGTCTCAAAATGCGTCGCAGCACACAGCTACAGTAGGAGCTAATTATTCCTGCCCTGTGGAAGGACATTTTCAGATAAAGAGGAGGATTTCAACACTGTTTCAAAGGTCTTCCCGTGTAAGCCATCTGTATCCAACAACAGACTGTTCCTCATTTATCTTGACTTTTCCAGAGAACTGTTTTGATAGCTCTAGAGAATAAAAACTAGAAGTTCCTTGCCACAAAGACCATGCTTATTCCTAGGCAGATGTCACGACGATGACAGGGGAGCGTTGCAGTTCCAGCTGTCACACGGATATCGGCGTGGCAGGTGGCAGCTGTAACCCTAGAGCGCACTTTTACTCTTTGTCTTCTCAGCTATATCTGGGAGCTGTCACTTGGCCGCTCCCCACAGCAGCAGCCCCGCTCCCAGCTCACCAGGGATCCCTGTGCAGGCACGAAGGCATCGCCGCAGAGGGAAGCTCACGTTCTCCCTCGGTATTTGGAAAGGTGCCCTGTTTTTTATAAAAAAAAAATCACTGATGCTTTTTTTTTTAACAAGTTCTTTGAGGAAAATCTTACTCAGGGAATTAATTAAAAGCTTTAAATTCTGGAGACAGAACGAAGCAGAGGTGAGGGCAGCTCTGAGAGTATTAGAGACTGATAAAATAGACTTTGTGTCTCAGCTCCGGCATCGCACTGCCCTAGCAGTACTGCCTTAGCGCTGGCGAGGTACAGTGTCACAGAACTACGTGAAAGGACTTGCAGGGCAGCTGGATCACAGTGCTAACCAGTGGCCTTGCACATGCTGGTTCAGAGGATTTCAAATGTCCATGTAGATCTTCTCAGGCTGAGGTAATGATTAGGTGAGATGTTTTGAGAAAAAGGTGACGAAAGCTGCCAAAGGTTGGAAACAGCATCCATGAGGAGAGCGTAAGAAAAGACTCTTCTTCAAACATACAACAGAGGGTTGATATGACAAAGATGAATGATTTTTTTAAAGATTAAACTGAAAAGGCAACAGTTACTCACTACTTGCATCGTGCAAAATTTAGGAAAGCTTTCAAGTGGTGACGCAATGGTTCAAAACCAAGAAGAGTGTTCCTTCATTTCTACAGCTCAGCTTATACCCACAGGTGTTCAGTCATGCCTGTTGAGCAGTGTCTGTTTCTTGCTTTTTTAGGAATACCCCCACCCCAGCCACTAAATAAACGTCACACAGAGAAGTCCTTGTAGTCCTAGTGCTGATCCTGCTGGAGGTCAGCGTTGTTTCATTTGGATGGTGAAGCACGCAACGGTTCTTAGAAATGCAGCCCACTGATAGGGGCAGGGTGACTCAAACCGTGCCTCATTTGCGGGTGGAATTCATTTCCTTGTGGAGGCCAGAATCAGAAAATGTTCAAAAAGGAACGAAGCAATTCATCAGGGACAAGAAAGTGTTGCGTCCAGCCCATGAAAAGCTCCGGCCCCCTAGGACACTGCACTGACCAGACCTTCAGCTTCATCCCGAACGGCAACTTTATACTCTTACACATGCCCTTTACAGACCTGTAGCAGCTGTGAGCAGCCCGCTGCTGCTGCGCTGCCTCTTCAACTAATAAAATGTAGCTGGAAAACATCTGGCTCACAAACTGGTACTGCGGCCTCAGAGCTTTGCTACTTTCAAATCTTCATTTCTCCTTCTCACACCACGTAAAAGCCCTCCCGCTGGAAAGGGTTTATCCTGAATGCCGAAACTGCAAGCCTACATCAAATAAATGGAAAATCAGCAGTCTCTGCTCCTTTACCCCACCCCGGACTCTTAGCTACCACCCTGGGCAGCTGGATATGTGAGCTCACCCAGGGCTGGGGCAGCATTTGCCTGTAATAAGGAAAGAGTAACAGTCCCAGCCAACTCAAACAGAAGAGCTGCGGTTAGCTCCTGATCTAATCACACACTGACATCACTTGGCTGGAGTTGGCATTCACTAAAGGGATGTCAAAGCAAATTATTTAATTCTGTTACGCAGTGATGGCAGCGTTAACCCAAGGGAAATTCCTGGAGAAGATTGAAATGTTTAAAATTCGTTTCAGATGCTTTGTAAACTTCTATCCTACATGAGCAGAGGATAACACAATACTCTGATGCCTGAGTTCGGAGGCACCTGTCCTCCCTTATATCATTTGGCAAAGGCAATAATTTGCCCGATCTGAGAAAGAGTTTGGGCTTAGTCACCCCTGCAGTGAAGAGCTGGGACTGAGCAGCCCCTGCAGGGGTCTCCCCATTGTCCCCGCGGTGGCCCGGCAGGACGCTATATTTAAGACTCCAGGATGGGCGCTCCAACATGGGGAACATTCTTTTGGGGAGAGTCATTCTTAGTGTCATCAACAGGGAGAAGGAACCACTCCTTTGTCCCTTCTCTTTCACGAGGACAGGAGCTCTCACTGTAATCTTCGCAGGGTGAGTCCGGTTTATCTGTAAATAAACTCCTGTTTCTAGAAAGATTTTTAAGATCTTCATAGCAGCAGCAGGTATTTTGTGTGATCACTTTATCTGAATTGCATTCAGAGATAGATTGTGCTTCACAATTGTATCTGCTTTCAGGTGTCATTACTGTTTTTCCAGTGCTGTTCTTAGGAAAATGCTGTTTTACTTTGTGTTTTCTCAAGAGAATCTATTCTGGTTTACTGGTCTGTTTAGAAAAAAATACATACTTGGATTGAAAAATACAGGGTTTAGCAGAACAGAACTCTGTATCTTTACAATAAACACTAGATTCTAAAGCAGTGAAATTTTTCAAGGGAAAAATAATAAACATGATGTAGCAAAAATTAACCTGGATCAGTAACTATCTATGCAAATGGAAAGATCTTATGTCCAGTAGTCATTCTGCAGCTAAAAAAATAGTCCTGAAGAGAGCAGCATTCCATGAAATTACAGAGATACTTTTTTTCCATACGAGCCTGTTTTGTTTTCTCTTTCTTACACTTGCCCACATTTGTTTCTCCCACAGTTAACACCTACCAAGGTAACATTATTGTGATAATTCTGTATTTTCATTTGCATTTGGGAATATTTTGCATTTACCACAACACCTCTGCTTTTCCATACAACTGTGTTTTTCCATGGACTGATTTTTAAGAAACTAGAAAACTGTACTATGAGTAAAAGCTGAGGGGTTTGTATTTTTTATCAGTTTGGCGTTAGAAAGCAGGAAAACTGAAATCCAGGCGCAAAGTTTGCCAAGGGAAAATTTCATTCATGGAGCAAGAGCCAGGGAAAGATTTACAAGTATGTTTGTACAAACATTATTCGGCAACACTTACGTTTCCCAAGCTGTTTTTATAAAGTAACCGAAGCTCTTAGAACTTGAAAATCTGAGCAGTTTAAGGATTTGTGCTCTACAGTTCAGAACCAATTGCAGGACAGAAGGAGGGAAGGAGGGCTACGCTTGTAAAATTTACTTTTGTTTAATGCCCCCTGATTAGTCAGTGCCTAAAAGCAGCGCGC